AGTCTCTCAAATCAGCGTGCGCTGACGACCTCAGTCGCGATGACAAAATATAAGTACAGGGTTTCCCCGACCTTGGGCCTCGACAAGACCGCTGGCTATGAGAGGACTTGTTTGAGGTGGAGGAGGGCCTGCTTACACTCCTCGGTCCATTTGAACGCGGCCTCCCTATGCAGAAGCTTGAAGAATGGGAGGGCGTGTTGGGCAGACGTGGCAACAAAACGAGACAGTGACACGAGCATCCCATTTAGGGACTGGATAAACTTCCTCGTGTTCGGCGTTGCAAACTCGAAGAAAGCCATGCACTTGTTTGGATTCGCCTCTATTCCTTGCTTCGTTAAGTAGAAGTCGAGGAACTTTCCTGCTCGTACACCAAAGGTGTACTTCTCCATATTGAACCTTATTCTGCATTTCCTCGTTGTCTTGAAGACCTTTCTGAGATGGGCAGTATGGTCGATTTCTTCTCATGACTTCACGATCATGTTGTCCATGTAGAACTCGAGCATGTCGCTAATTTCTCCCTGGAAGACTTTGTTCACTATCCCCTGGTAGGTCGTGCCGACGTTTTTTAAACCGAAGGGCATTATATTGTAGTAATAGTTGCTCGACTCGGTCATGAAGACCGTGTATTGTTTGTCGGCCTTTGCCATGTGGATTTAATTGTACCCGAGTACGCGTCCATGAACGACAACAGTTTAAAACCTGCAGAATTGTCGACGAGTTTGTCGATGTTAGGTAACTAATATGCATCTTTGGGACATGCCCGATTGAGATCAGTGTAATCAATGCACATCCTCCATTTTCCATTATGTTTTTAACAAGTACAACCTTGGAAAGCCAGGTTGTGTACTGGGCTTCCGATATAAAATTTACCTCTATTCTTGGGTGTCTCGGGGTCGGTCTTCTCTTCTTATTTCTCGGCCTCGTCAGGGAGCAGTGGAATCCTCATGCCTGAAGCTCTTGGCACCCTCTTGATTCTGTGAGCTGCAGGCGTAATAGGTGGTCTCTATCTCTTCATACTGGATGTATGCCTAGGCCTTATGGAGGAGCGCGTCTAAGGTGTTAGGCCTTTCAATGCCGACTGCCTTGGCGAACTCGTTGCGAGGTTGCAGTCCTTGCTCGACCAAAAATCTCTTCATGTCATCCGAGGTGAATACCTGGATAGCTTTTCGATTGAACCTCTCTATGTAATCCCTGAGAGATTCGTCTTTTCCCTGGATGATGGCTTCCAGGGATGCTTCCATCTTCGGGTGGCGTCGGGAAGTGGTAAAGTATCTAAAGAACTTTCTCTTCAGCTCTTTCCAGGAGGTGATGGACTCAGGCACGAGGCTCTTGTACCATACCATAGAACCCTTACTTAGGGTAGTGGGGAAGAGCCTGCACTTGATGGCTCCCCGAACATTTTGGTAGTCGAGCATCGCATCGATGCTTTCAATGTGGTTGTCCGGGTCGGTCGTACCATCATATGTCGCCAAGGGCGGGGGGTTTTCCATCCCGGCGGGTAAGGGAGCCTCCATGATGGTCCTAGACAGTGGTGTGCGTTATTCATTCTCGTCACTTCTGACAGGTGATTGAAACGGTGAAAGGTCACCTCGGTCTTTTCTACTCCGTCGGGGGGGGGGGGACTGCTTGGCCGGATCTTTAGCTTCTCGATGTATCCGTCAGTTTTATTCCTCTTATGAGTGAGGGAGCATCGTTCTTTCGGGGGAGGAGAGCTATTACCCTTCTGGGTGCCCACTGGTTGTGGTCGTTCCAATCGGGGACAACGCCTGGCCTGCCTTAGGGAGGGGCTCTGAGACACCTCATGTTACGGCCTCCGCGGGGGAGTGGAAGGACGGGTTTCTCGCATTTGCAGGAACGGGTTACGAGGAACTGGTGACGATGTCTTTGCGGGGGAGAGCGTGATTGTCAGTCTTTCTCCAACATTTTGATTTGCTCGTTCTGTTGAAAAATCATCAAGTTTATCTGATTGATTGCTGCGAATAGGGCCACCATAGTCGGGTCAGCATTGGTGGGCACAGGAATTGGTTGAAAGACAATTGATTGTCGAAGCTTCGGGCGGCATTGAAGGTCGCGTCTTCTGAGGAGGGAAAGGCAGTGTGTCCGTCCCTGGGGTCGCTCTCTTCGACATGAACAATCACATTAGGGTCGTGACCGTCACTGTTGGTAAACAGAGTGAAGGCGGTTTCTGGAGCGTTGCCTTCAATGCTTGGGCTGACCATGATCAACGGAGGTTGTAAACTGCTTTGGTTCTTGGATTTCTATAGGATAAAGAACGGGGAAGCAAGAGTTCCTACAGACGGCACCACTGATCTTACTGGATCAGAAAAGGATCAGCAACCAGCCACGCGTTGTGAGCTCCTTAATTCATCGGTGGTGGAGAAGAGGAGGGGGTGTATCTGCAAGGTACTCTGATGCTAAAGTGAGAAACATAGTAAGAGAGATTAAGTATAGAAAAAAGGTATAGAATTCAGAATACCTGACTCTCTAGTGAAATTGGGTATTTATAGTGTGCTTCCAGCGCTGGGCCAACAATCACTTTACATTGGGCTGGATTTTCAGGCCCAACATAAGTCACTTCCAGGGTCTACATGGCGTAGGGAAGACCAACACATGGTTTTCACCCTGGTCCAACTTCCCCGTGATCTTCAGAAGATGGAAGACCGATTCTTTAGAACACGGGTAGTTGCCTGATGATGTGTCCCCACATGGGGAACGTGAGGGGGGGGGGGGCGTGAGCTCTCCCTGTGCTAGGTAGTGGTCTGCCTGACTACAGAGAGTATTGAGCGTGCCCGACGGGATGGAGGATGGGGCCTTGATGGGTCTCCCAAATGTAGCATTGGGTTGGGCCTGGCCGACTGTGGCCAGATAATGTCCTAGTCCAGAACAATATTTAACACATTATCTTAGGATTGTCTGGTCGATCCTGTAAGTAACCTTTAATAAGAGACTAGCGATTGTTTACAAAATTTCTAAGCAAATACAATGTTAGCCTTAATTGATGGTATTAATATTAAATTTTGTGTAGGTGCGCAAGAATCGGTGTTAGCCTTAATTGATAGTGTTAATATTGAATTTTGTTTATGTTCGCAAGAACCGGTGTTAGCCTTAATTGGTGGTGTTAATATTTATTTGTTTAGGTTTACAAGAATAAGTGTTAGCCTTAACCGACAGTGTTTAATATTGAATTTAGTTTAGGTTCATAAGAACATGTGTCGACCTTAACTGGCGGTGTTTAGTATTAGTGTTAGAGGTTCGAGTATATATTGCATTTTATTGAAGCATCATGCATCAAGTATTTCAGAGTTAGATTAGGACTTCGATATGGTGATTCAGGACTTTGGGTCAGTGTTAGGACTTTGGTCCGGTGATTCATGACTTATGTCTGGTGTTAGGACTTTGGTCCGGTGTTTTAGGACTTCGATCCGAAGTTTAGGACTTCGATATAGTGTTTTAGGATATTATGTAAAATAACTCTTAAATCCCCCGACGGTACCACATCCATGGGAGTAGAAGAGATGAGTATTGCATATTTAACTTGTACATGTGATGTGACATTGCGTGATTGAGATTGTTTATGAATGTCGTATTATATGAAATGATATCTTTGCTGTTATTATACCGTTTATAATATAGAATGTATTCTCACCTGTTCTTGTTTTCATGTTTCTGTATATGTATTTTTATATAGGTGATTCTCAGTTTGATACTGAGGAGTGACTACAGTCGGTTGCTTATGGAAGATGCTGTAGACGACCACTTCCATTATTTGTTTTCATGTTTCACCGAACCTTAAGTCGGATATTGGTTTACTTTAGAATGAATAGCTCTTATATTGTATATTGTAACATTGAAAATGCAAGTAAACAAACACATTCGTCGATTTTAATATAGTATTTCAACTTCATACATGAAAAAAACAAAGACAAGCACAACTTTTCTATCAAAATATACCTAGTTTCTACATCGATTAACAGTCGATTGAGATAATATATGGCCCTTTTGACGTCATCATCATCTTTTTGGCTAATATATTGTCTATTGTCAAATTCGATGCAGAAATATATAGTTTTATGCTCGTATTTCTCATAGGAAGTAATAACACAGGAGGCTTTGACAGATACTCTTTAAAATCATCGAATGTCTTTTGATATTCTAGTTCCCAACTAAAACTTTCCTCTTTTAAAAATAGCAACGGTAAAAATATCTTTGTCTTGTTACTTAAATTCAAAATAAACCTTTTTAAAAAGTTTATTTTTCTAAAGAAAAATTAGAGCCGCTTATAAGTTTTTTATACTAAATTATTATCTTTTAAATTTATATACAATAAAAAAATTTATAATTTGAAATGGAGATTGTAAAATACATATCATATTTTATTAAAGATAAAGTATAAGTTAGTCGTTTTCTTTTAGAAAAAATGCATAAGACTTTAAAAAAAAAGGAGCGAATATATATATATATATATATATATATATATATATATATATATATATATATATATATATATATATATATATATATATATATATATATATATATATATATATATATATATATATATATATATATATATATATATATATATATATATATATATATATATATAGAAGGCCTTTTATTTTGGTCAAATGAAATAATTTTACTAATTATTATTATTATATCTATAATATTTCCATCCATTTAATGATAAAAACACAAAAGATGTGCTGTATTTGTTTGAGTTGTTCTGATCTTTAGAATAGTAATAAATAAATAAAACAAAATGATACTAACAACGAAGCAGGAATCACGCGCGAAGCACGTGGACGGAAAGATGCTGTTCACTGTTTAACACTAAAATAAAAATAAATAGAAAAGGAACCCTTTAAAATAAAAAATAAAAAAAGATACCAACGGTTTCTCACTTCACTTAAGAACCGAACCTAGTTGTACAAATGAAACATAACATAGGGTAAGAGAACAAAACACAAACAAACAAACATACATACTCTGTTTTTCTAATGGACTCACTCTCTCTCTTCTGCACCGGAGCTCTTCTCGCCGGCGGCCTATATTGGTTCGTCTGTATCCTCGGCCCCGCCGAACGAAAAGGCAAACGCGCCACCGATCTATCCGGTGGTTCCATTTCCGCCGAAGAAGTCCAAGATAGCTACAAACAATACTGGTCCTTCTTCCGTCGTCCAAAAGAGATCGAAACCGCCGAGAAAGTCCCAGATTTCGTCGATACCTTTTACAATTTAGTAACAGATATTTACGAATGGGGTTGGGGTCAATCCTTCCATTTCTCACCTTCCCTCCCTGGTAAATCCCACCGTGACGCCACGCGCCTCCACGAAGAAATGGCTGTGGATCTCATCGAGGTGAAATCCGGAGACAAAATCCTCGACGTTGGATGCGGTGTTGGTGGTCCCATGAGAGCCATCGCTTCTCACTCACGCGCTAACGTCGTTGGAATCACGATCAACGAGTATCAAGTGAAAAGAGCCAAGATACATAACAAAAAAGCCGGACTCGATTCTCTATGCGACGTCGTTTGCGGCAATTTCCTCGAGATGCCGTTTCCCGATAACAGTTTCGACGGCGCGTACTCAATCGAAGCGACGTGCCACGCGCCTAAGCTTGATGAAGTTTACGCTGAAATTTTTAGGGTTTTGAAACCCGGTGCTCTTTACGTTTCTTATGAATGGGTCACAACAGAGAAATTCATACCCGAAAATTCAGAACATGTTGAGATTATTCAAGGAATTGAAAGAGGTGATGCTTTGCCTGGGCTTAGAAGCTACGCTGATATAGCTGAAACGGCTAAGAAGGTTGGGTTTGAGGTTGTTAAGGAACAGGATCTGGCTGAGCCACCGGCTGAGCCGTGGTGGAGCCGTTTGAAAATGGGTCGGATTGCTTATTGGCGTAACCATGTTGTGGTAACTGTTCTGTCTGCATTGGGAATAGCGCCCAAAGGGACGGTTGATGTTCATGAGATGCTATTCAAGACTGCTGACTTTTTGACCAGAGGGGGTGATACTGGGATTTTCTCTCCTATGCACATGATTCTCTGCAGAAAACCAAAAGAACAAGAAAAATAAGTTTCTGAAAATTTCTGGTGGTGCTGATGAAGGTATCTGAAATTAAAATGAATTTGTTTTTTTTTTAATAATTTTTATTTTATATTAAGTTTAACTTATTGTTTCTTTGAACTGGATGTAATATGTTTTTGTTTTTTTCTTTTTCATTTTTGCAATGTAGTTTTCTTATTGCCTTTTGGATTTTATTTTAGTCTTCAGTACTGTTACTGTTAGTGTATTTCATTTAATGGACTTTAATTAGTTTAAAGTTGGATTCTGATTGTCCCTGTGATTTGATTGATATGGTAGTGTAGTAAAAGCAATGAATATTAAAAGTTTCTTTACGGTGTTTTACAATTTTATGGAGTTGTTGGGGGTGAAAAGGAGATGATGAGGTGGAGATACGAGAAAACAGCACATGTTAAGATAGATGGCTATATTTGTTAGAGATTAGCTGGCTTTTGTGGTACTGTAACGTGATTATGCTTTTAGCTTAATTAAGAATCTGAATGGATCTGGAGATGCTTATTTTTGGTTTTGTTGTTGGCATTTTGTGAGTGGGTGTTTCCTCCAGGAGACCGTTGGGCCACACATGCCAAGACATTTGCACAGCACTTGCGTTGGATCTGACAATTCTTTTTTGTTTCACACTCATCTTGTTTCCGTGACAAAACACATACTGTATCTTACTGTATCTTATATGGATGAGGATTAAGGACTAGTAAGCCATCTTTAAAAAAATTGAATTAATAAAATTCATTACACCAATACCTCTACCAATTTTTTTGAAAAAAAAGAGGTGTCTGTAAAATTTTTAGTGTCAGGGATCAAATTTAGAGTATCTGTTGTGTTAAAGAAAATACTAGTGGAGAAAGTTCCTTTTCTTGTAGTGTTAAGATGGTGAGTATAACATTTCTGTCAAGAGTTCGTTCCATCTATATCTATTCAACTTAAATGTATCAAAAGCATCAACTACTTTGTTTGCATTAAGATTGACAAACATGTTAAAATTTGTATGTTAAACAAGAATTATTAGTTTGTGGGAATATGATAGATTAGACCCGAATAAAATGCTCAAAGCTCCATTGAAAAATGGAGCAAGTAATATTTGAAGAAAAAACCTGAAAAATTAAACTCTGATTTACGAAACCATCATTATTAGTTTTGACCGATCCATTGGCAAGTGCCTCTGCCTATTAAAATGAAATGTTTTTTAGTTAAATATGTTTTTTTTCCCTCATAAATATTACCAATTTTGGTTTTATACTTGTAATGTACTGGAGATAAGTTATTTAAGGTAGAATTTTACATAAAGGGTTATTTTGTAAAAGTCCTAAAGTTAAAGTATGAAGGTGGAGATATTTATGCATTTCGTGGACAAGACAGTGATTTCTTATCATTCTTTGAAGCTCACCTAATTAAGGGGATGGACTCTGCATTTAGTGTTAATGAAGTGAAAATGTGGTGGAAACATGAAGAGGGTTGTTTGATTTTTTTAATAAAAAAAACTGATGAGTTTAAGCCTTTAAGGTTGACATCAATTTTGGTAAAAATACTATCTAGTAGATTTCATTCTTGGCTTGGTAGCCCCCAGACGTAGGTGTTGTTTTTCACCGAACTGGGTTAACAATCATTGTGTGTTTGTTTATTTTCTGCAATTTGTATTCTGCTCCTTATTGTCATTGTGTTTGAAGCAGATATCAAGTGTCTCAATATCTCTCAGGACATTTGAGATCTGCTACCAAAATTTCAATTGGTATCAGAGTAGGTATCATGCTCTGCATCTAGGTGAGATTCAGGGAAGTTACTTTCTGGTTCAATGGACAAAGAAGGAGGAATATTAAATAGACCACCCATTCTTGATGGATCTAATTATGAATATTAGAAAGTGTACATGGTGGCCTTCATTAAGTCTATGAATGGTAAAGCTTAGAAGTCCATGGTCAAAGGGTGGGATCCACCAAAGGCTAAAGATAAGGAATGATATGTTAAAGCCTGAGGAAGACTAGAACATCTAAAGCATTGAATGCCTTGTTCAATGGTGTTGACAAGAACATCTCCAGGTTGATCAAGAATTGTACTGTTACCAAGGATGCTTGGGAAATCTTGAAGACTGCTCATGAAGGAACTTCTAGGGTGAAATCTTCAAGACTCCAACTTCTCACCACCAAGTTTAAAAACTTGAGGATGATAGTATTCAAGACTTTCATATGAACATTGTTGATATTGCCAATACTTCAAGTGATCTTGGAGAAAAGATTCCAGAAGATAAGTTGGTTCAAAAAATTCTAAGATCTCTTCCAAGGAAGTTTGACATGAAGGTGACTGCCATCGAAAAAGCTTAAGATATAAATACCCTGAAGGTAGATGAACTCATGGGTTCTCTACAAACTTTTAAAATGGCCTTGAGTGAGAAAACTGGGAAGAAGAAAAGCTTAGTCTTAATGTCTAATTCCAAGGAAAAATTATCTAAGGCTATTGTGCTGCTTCGGAAACACTACAATCAATTGCTGAAGAGGATGGAAGGGGAGTCAAGAGCAAATGTCAAGACTCACTCACCCGACTACAACAAAAGGAGGGATTTTAGAATAAAGTCTAAAAATGATGAGAAAGTTGGCAAAGGAAAAGGAATCAAGTGCTATGAATGTAAAGGTTTTAGACACATTAAATTTGAGTGTCCTACCCTTCTCAAGAAGGAGAAGAAGAGTTTTTCTACATCATGGTCTGAAGATGATTCTGCGAGTGAAGGAGAACCACCTAAACAGGTTTCTACTCTTACATGGGTATTTGACTCTGATGGAGAATCTGATATTGGAGAACTCTCATATAATGATCTGACTAACTCCTACAGGGAGCTGTGCACCAGAAGTGCAGAAATATGTCAGTTATGAGAGGATCAACATAGTGTTATCATTTGGCTTGAGGCTGAAAGATTGAAGCACCTTGACATTATCTTTGGTCTATAGGAGGAAGTTGTATTGCTCAACTCTAAACTTGACAATATGACCAAAACTGTTAGAATGCTCAATAGTAGTTCTGATGTGCTAGATGAGATTCTTTAATTTGGGAGGGATGCTGGAGATATCAAAGGACTTGGTTACAATGACCAAGTTGTGATGAACAAAAGAAAAGAGCCAACATTAAGTTCAGCCCGGCCTAAAAGAAAACAAAATCAGAAGATGTCAAAAGGGATAACCCAACATTAACACAGACATTAGAAAAATCCTTCAAGCAAAAAGAAACAGGACTGGAAATGTCATTATTGTGTTAAGTATGGTCACATTAAACCTTATTGCTACAAGTTACATGGGTATCCCAAGTTTGGTTCACAACCTAGAAAGAGGCATGAAGGTAAAGCAGGAAAGAAGTGGATTCCCAAGAATGAGTCTGTGGCCCTAATAGCTCATTCTTCTCTAAGAGCCTCTACTGGAGAAAGGTGGTACTTTGATAGTGGTTGTTCGAGACACATGACTGGTGTCAAGGATTTTTTGGTGGATATAGAATCACATGCCTCCAACTATGTCACCTTTGGAGATGAATCCAAAGGGAAAATTAAAGGTGTTGGGAAGTTGGACAATGTTGGGCAGCCTAGACTTGACAATGTGTTGCTTGTCAAGGGATTGACTGCAAATTTGATAAGTATTAGTCAACTTTGTGACCAAGGTCTCAAGGTTAACTTTACAAAATATGAGTGTCTGGCTATGAATGATAATGATAAAGTTATCATGAAGGGTGCCAGATTGAAAAATAATTGCTCTGTGTGGACTTCTTTAGAGACAGAGTGTTCATCAATGTAAAATAAAGATGATGTAAAGCTTCAAAAACTTACCTCAAATATGAATATTGAGGGTGAATGAATCAATGGTGAATGGCATATTGGGAAGTTAACCAAGATGTCACACAAGAAGCTGCAACATCTTACTACCTCAAGGATTCTAGAACTTCTTCATAGGGTCTTAATGGTTGATGATCTTGAAGGAAAGAGGCGTGCTTATGCTGTCACTGATGACTCAACCATAGAAGTTGAATGCATAGCAATAGGGGAGAGTTATTCTCAATTCATAGGGATGAGACATATGCTGATTGGGCATAATTTCACACAAGATGTCGTGACATTATCCTGTGATAACTTGAGCATCACTGATGGTATAAAAAATCAGGTCAAGATGTTAAAGGCAATTTAGGGTTTTGATTATTTGAGGGTTTAGAGAAATTAATTTGTGGGAATACTATTCAAGTGTATGTATGTTCCCAACAAATAAGAAGGGGGTTTCAAAATCAATCATTTCAAATTTACCTAAACCGCTCTTACACATGTTTACATCATACATCACAATTCCTCACAAACTGCTTCATATTCCTCCTCGAAGAAAAACCCAATCCTGTTCTCAAGTTTTCCAAGATGTCTCAACAACAGTCGTCTAGAGGGATATCCAAGAAGGAGAACGTTTCTTCATCAGCAGCTAGGGGTAGGTCTGGAAAGATGCCTGCTGAAGATGCCATTGATGTTGCCCCCCTTGGTTGTGGTGCCATACAAGCCTAATAAACTTCCTGTAAGAAGATCTAAGAACATCCCTATAGGTAATCCTTCAAATACCTCTGGTGCTTTTTCTAACCCTAGGATAGAAAAATAAATTTTTGACATGGATAAGAGGATCGGAACAATAATGGCTAAGGCCTTAAATCTAGGGGGTCGGCTGAATGTTGCTGGAATTACTAGACCCCTGGCTCAGATTCTTCCCACACCTTTGCCCTTATTGCTGAACCAGAGGTAACGACTGAGGAGAATGTTGATGAGGATAGTATTGAAGGGGATGATCATCAAATATCAAAAGGGAATCTGTACACTCTTGCTGACTCTATGGTAATAGATGTTGAAGCAGATGGTGGAACATCTCCATTTGTAGAAGAATCGCAGTCAAAGGAACAAGCATCTGAGGGTACTATTGGAAAGGTTGCTGATCAGGTTATCAATGTTAATGACCTACCTTCTGATGATGAAATCATTGCCAAGAGTCTCC